GACAATCTGTGATAAGTAGTGTACCTGTTTACGATCATCTTTATTCAATGTCGCATGAATAGTTGTTTATTTCCAGAAAGTGGTCAGCCAACGGATACTGAATAAAAGGTTGCTTGAAGTTTATCCCCATGGACTATTGTAGTAAGTAGTTCTCTAATCCCAGCCAATCATTTTTCAGAATGTCGACATCGCCAGCGGATTAAACGCTGAAACGCTCACATGGTCCGACGACCCTTTAACCCCGTTGCAGAGATAGGTGCTAAATAACTGGTGTAAGTCTTCCGCATTCCAAAACCGAGAAAGTTTAAATAGAGATGCCTAGTGTCCATATACGTATTTGCAACAGAGGAGAGGTAATATCAATACACAGCCGTAAAGAATTAAGGCAATGATGACGAAGCCACTCTCTGCTTTCCTTGCCGCTCAGGTGCTTTTTTTGCAGCTATATTTGACCAGTGGTAAGTTACTAATGACCATCGATTATTGTCCTCGTAAATTACCAATTTCTGGTAATTTTCATCAAACAAGAATGGTTGTTGGCAAATTTTGTTAAGGGGGTTGAAAATCGACTGCAATCTGAACAATACAAATTTGGTGCAGACTGCACGTTTCATCACGTTTCATCGTTTTCTCGAGTACCCCAATGATATTTGTTTATCTACGAACTAAGATAATTTTTCATGCGCATATGCATCCTAGGAGGTACAAAGGCAGCAACTAGTGGCGCGTTATATTTATGGGTGAAATCTCTCCAAGCAAACTGGGAACTGGGAGGCTTCTCTCCGGTACTTCTTGAAAACCTTGGAGGCAATAATTTTACCTGTTGCGCGTCCAAATGTGCTTCGTCTGGGTCTCTGAAGACGTGCGTCACCTTAAACCTTATGCAGGATTACTCGTATTGGATAAGCAGAAAAATCGAGCTGACAAAATACTCTTCGGGGCCCACCCAAAAAGGAATTAATGGACGACGATCTCAGGCTTAAAGCACGTTCTAAGAGACGTGAGGCCCGAACTCAACCCTTGCTTTCAAGGAAGTAAACCACTTATTTGGATGTAATCGATCCAGATGGATTACATCTGTTGCGCGTCCAAATGTGCTTTCTCTGGGTCTCTGAAGACGTGCGTCAACAAAACCCTTATGCAGGATTACTGGTCTTGGATAAGCAAAAATATGAAGCTGACAAAATACTCTCCAGGGCCCCCCAAAAAATAATTTGTAGACGACGATCTCAGGCTTAAAGCACGTTCTAAGAGACGTGAGGCCCGAACTCAACCTTCGCTTTCAAGGAAGTAAACCACTTATGGGGTGTAATTAATCCAGATGGATTAGACCTATAGATTCAAAAATGGTAAATTGATCTGCATGACATAGCGAAATAATTCGAAATAAGAGGATCGCATCATTTTAGGGTGATATGAGAAGGATAGCAAAATGGGGAAAGGTAACCAAATATTCAGAAAAAATTAATATATATATTGTCAAGAAATAGATATTGTTGCATTCAGAATTTATTTGATTTCTTTTGCTTATTTATTAAGGTTTTCAAACTTTCGTTACTAACTGAAATGTAAAGTGTTTCATTGAAACTGGTGTTAGGTCAACAAGTGCATACTTAACCAAAAATTAACGATTAACATTTATCAATTTATTGCAGTTATTGTTATTATTATTATTATTATTATTATTATTATTATTATTATTGGGCGATTCTCGCCAGCACTATGGTGTTTTTCTTGGTCGCTGCATCCAACAGCTTAGAGGCACAGCACATTCCGCAAAATGTGAGCAGTACGAATTGATGGCTGATAACTGAGTACTTCAAAAAATATCGGGCAAACTTAATCTTGCATACCAGGCCTTTGCATTGCTTTGCCTTCTTTTCCCATCTTGAACAACACCATTCCTGAGACATCCACAGGACTCCTCTCCAGCCACATCTGAAGTTTTCGTAGTAAATTCTCCCTGTGGAGCTTCCAGTTCCTGACTTTCTCCTCTTCCCTTCTTTTCTGGTAGTCCTGAAGATTCTCTTCTTCAACAAACACCTTCTCCTGATATCTCTCAGGTAGCCATGCAATAATTTTCTCTCCTTCTAACACTCCTCAATACCAATCAACCCTCACCCCTTCTTTTCTCAGTAGATACAGTCTGGCAACATTACGCGTTGTGTGTAAATAGCCATTTACCGCCAATATCGTCCTAGTTTTTCTATCCATACTGACCAGCCCTTCCAACATGCAATCCACGATACTTGCACTGTAGCGTATTAACCTACAGCCTAGACATTGATGCACTAATAAGATTTCCGCCATTCAATTTGGATCTACACAACCGTCTCAATTTCTCTTCCGATGTATTCCGCTGTTACCTCGCCTTTCATATGGTCTAATTGTAAAATACTAAGATATATGTAGCCCCTATACCCCCTTCCGCACCATCTGGCAGGTCTATCGTCATCGTCATCGTCATCATCATCATCATCATCATCATCATCATCATTATCATCATCATTATGATCGTTATCGTTATTGTTATTGTCATTGTTATCGTTATCGTGTATATCATTATCATAGTTCTTTTTTATTTTTATTTATTTATTTATTTTTTACATTCAAGGGGCTGTCTTTCAAGCTGGGAAGGTAAATATTACCGACACTTCCCAAAACAACCATGGTTGCCAAGCCGTTTCTTTCGAAACTCAATTCCAGGGTTCGGGAGATGTAAAGGTGTTCGCGACGCTCAGTCACGGAAACAAATATGTTAAAATCCACGAGCCAGCGTCTCTTTGGGTGAAGTCGGTGTCAACAACAGGTTTTGAAGCCTGCGTGCGCGAAGCAGGAAGTGGCTCTGGTGGAACGTCTGTGATCAACTGGCTTGCATTTCAAGGTTCGCATCAAGGCATACACTCAGGGATCGTGGAATTTAGTGAATTCACGTCACGAACACAGTGCAAGAAGATATCGCTAAGCATTCAGAAACAGGTAACTTCGCAACGTCATCCAATTAATTCATTTAGTCTTCCATGTTAGTTTTAAAGTCAATACTCACGAAAAACTCATAACTCAGCTTCGACCTTAAGGGGAAAAAATAACGAAAACGCGCACATCAGTAAAATTAAAAAAAAAAAGGCCTTGTTTTGTAAATTGTTTAAATACTATGCCTGCAAAAATCACCAAAAAATGTAATGGTTATAGTGCTCCATGATGAAAGTTGTTTGATATATTCTTCATGGCTCTGCAGGAACATTTAATGCATGGATAAATGGACACAGTGATTACTTCAGCACAGAATTGCGAAGTGGCCTAAAGCAGCAATATCATCGCGGCATATCCCCTTTAACAAGAAAAGGGCTTAGCACTATATAAATCGTCCGTTTTTTTCCTATGTTTTGTTTGCTGTTCAAGAATCTCCTCCTAGGTTTGTCATAACGTCAGTCCATAACGTTAAGCACTGTTAATCCGGTCCTCTTCGGGGCAAAGGACGATAATAATATTTAAGCTCGGTATGTACATGTACTTATTGGGTGATTTTTTCTCTTCTTTTAGATAAAGCCTCAAGTGTTTGTAACCGTTCAACATAAACATTCTAACCGTCCTTTTGATTCCATGAACATCTGGCTAGAAGAGGTCAAAGCAGACGGCTTCGTTGTTTGCTTGAGAGAGTTTATGAGTTTCGACGGTATCCATACCGGACTTAAAGTGGTGAGTTTTAAAAAATTAGCCCAGTCTTCGACTATTACGTTTTTCTTCGTCCTTACTTGTTATCAATTAAATTTAAAATTAAATCTGATTGTATGGAAGCTAATTAAAAACCTGGTGGTTAGTTTGGCCTCCCCTTATAAATTACGTAAAAATTATATTAGAAGAATTATTGTTATACCTAACCCATAAATGTTTTAAAACCGTAAAACTCTAAATTTGCTTTGCAAAGACAGCCTGACGAAAGGGGTGGAGGGTGGACTGGAAGTGAAAAAAAAGGGGGGGGGGGGGCGCTGATCAGGAAGCGGGGTTCTGTCAAAGAACGGCTTTTCAGCCTTAACAAAATATCGCCGGCTGCGCATGTGCAGCAGGTGTTTTGAAAAGAAAGAAAGTTTTCTTTAAGTCGCGCATATAAACTATCCTCGTCATTTCAAAACTTTAGGGTTCCCTAATCCATTCTGAGATGAAACTTCCGGGTTCACATTTAGGGTTTTTTTAAAAGCCCGGTGCCGTTGGCTTTGAGGCCTCCTAAAACTTTAATGTTGAATAAAATTAAAACCGTTCAAACTAGGACCATCAAACTTGGCGACTCTTGCTGAATATCTCTCAAAGACTTTTTTACTTTTAATGAATTATTATATCACACTTAATTTACCATTATTTACGTAGCTGTTAATATGATCTAGGCTTTTTAGTGACTAGTTTGGAAAAATGAATTGAATTTAAAATGGCCAACTAGCAGGAATAAATGGAATTAAATTTAAATAATTCAAAATGGCAGATCCAAAAAGACATATGGTCTCAGTAACAAATGACGTCATCATGTTGTCACTGCCATTGTTAAAGATTATCAAATTGTCAACCATCGTCGTGATTTTTAAGTAATTTAATTATTTTTGCTTAATGGCTACGGGAACAATTGACATCTTGGGTTCAGACAAGAAATGCAACAAGGGACATCTTAGTGACGTCAAATTACGTTACTGTGTCAATCACATTACACCTACTTGTTGGAATGATGATTACACTATTTTACGTAAATTTAGTGGCTGTATCATGAGTGGTTATAATGTTCTCAAAGGGGCCTTCGAAGGCCCTTTTCCCTCCAATTCAAGGAAGCCCAAAAACGCTCGGTCAGAATAGTGTTAAATATAGGTCATGGTATTTTGCTTTTTCTCAGACTCCAGATACAAATTTTTCTCAGGGTTCTCACCTTCATCTTAAATTTTCTTAAAAAACCATAAGGAAAGACATTCAATGCTGTGACTGTTACTTGCGTCCACCTTTTCAGAACTGGCTTGCTTATGATTTGCTACCTGAGGCTTGGAATTTTTACTGAGCAAGGAAGCCTTCATTTTTCTGGACTTGGTGCACCAAAGAAAGAGAACAATTATGCCTTTTGTCAGGTTGGAAAATGTGACGTCTATTAATGATGCATTCAATTTTTATTGAATTAACTTCCAAACTCAAGCCTTTAAACCAACGTGGTTAACAATCAATGTTTGTGTTGTGTATTTGTCGTTTCTTCAAGGGACACTGTGACATCGGCGTATTGTGCATTTTTGAAATAAGAGTTGAAGTCCAACAAGAGATACGACCTTCTTGATCATCAATAATTCGTTAAAACCTCATGCGTTGTTCACAAGAGTTGTGATTTAGATTTGTTGACCGCTACGTGGTAAGGAGGTGCATCCACTATTAGATATATTTTATAGACCTAGAGTTTGCCTAATCAGTTCCTTAATGAACTGGGACAATATCACTTTTTTCAAAAGGATGGAAGCGACAATATTTCTTTAAACAGTCAGAGGGAAAATTATTGTGTTTGGTAAATCCTGATTTTTAGGATTATAAGTTTGAGAATCCATTCTACGAACCGCCCAATATTCTGGCGTCTGCCAGCCATGAAAATGGCACCAGGGAACTATCAATGAAGGCAGATGGTCGCTATAGCAACGCTTTGACTGTCTGGATTGAGGTGAGTAGCCTTGAAGAGACCTAATAAGTTGAAACTGTTTCAAATATTTGCTGGTTAAAATAGATGCCTTCGCTAAAGAGTAAAGCACTTATAACTAATAAAAGAAGAAGTTCGAAGTGGCACTTAACACTTGACGACAAATTCAAGCAATAGCTTGAATCAACAATCTTATTGTCATTTTCCGTACTCATTTTCACGATGATGATTCTTCTTAACGGGAGCTCCGTGGGTTCATGGTTTTAAATTGACAACCAACTTTCTCGGAATGTATTGTTATTTTCATGTAATCCGATTGGTCAACTTTGTCTAGGTGACCTCTGTTATAGTAGTCGCACTGTAACAGACAGCAGCGTCCACTATATATCCGTGAGAACTGTACGTCCGTTTAAACGATTCAAAGTTGCCCTTGTCCTTATTGCCCTAACTGGACGCCCCTGTCTGAAAGCTAACAAGTCAATACAAACTTTTTATTTATCGGTATATTTGATGTTATTTTCCAGGAGATCACTCGTTTGTCTTTCAAAGTGTGCATCAAAGACAGTCAGGGAATGAGCAAGTCTCACGATCCAGTTACAGTGGACTATGCAATAGTGGGAGGTACATTACTCTTATATTTGCTTATTCTTTAATTTCAAAGATTTGTCTCTCATACTGGTTCGTCCTACTATCAAGGCATTTGGACGTTGGGTCAAACGTCAAATTGAAGAAATAAATTGGAATAAGAATAAAGTCAGGCAATTGTCACTTTAAAAAACTATGATCAAATGTCGAAGAAAGAAGTTATAAAAAATGGCGTTTAAGTATTAAGAACAACTTCGTATTGATCGTCTTATTATCTGGGTGAATAACTGCAGCTGTGTACCTCTTTTTCAAGCGTTTTTGTAGAAAAAGTAACTTCCCCTTTCCTATCCTTTTTTGCCATAAATTTTCTCCACGGGAAAAACAAAGCACAATTTAAAAGCAGTTGCGCTCTCAAAGGATATAGGACGTCAGGTCAATTTGCTATTCACACAAGTGCTGATTTTGTTGTTGTTTTTTTGCCCTAAAAGATATAGACCCGTGCACAAACGTTACTTGCGATTACCATGCCATCTGCAAAGCTTTCTCTGCATTTGATGCCCGCTGTGTTTGTGATGACAACTGCCCGTCGTACGAGGAGCCAGTGTGTTCATCCAACTCGACAACATTTAAGAACAAGTGCTTTTGTCTGCTGGACATTTGCAGGCGCAAGAGTAACCACACTCTCTATCATCCCGGTAGCTGTACAGGTAAGAGAGCGGATTATAAGGTTTTTTTAAAACCACTTTAACCAGCGTATGTAGAGCTCTAATGTTATGAGATATAGTCCGGCTGATTACTTATAACATCACTCAATTTGGCGGCCATCTTGGGCGCCATCTTGGAATTCCGTTTTATGCACCATGGCATTTCCGGTGCATCTGTAGGTCCAAAATTGATCATGATTAAATACTATTTTGCTTATTTTGGTACTGTTTTGAACGCAATAAAGTGCCAATTATATAGTGCCACTATATGATTGTGTGATTGTACAATCAGCTTTAATTTACTTCCTCGCATATAGAGAGGATTTTATACCTTTTTTTCTCATCCTCATCAGGTATTTGTAGGATGCATCTTTTTTTGTCTTTATGTTAACTTTATGGCTGTTGTTGTTTTTTTGTTTGTTTGTTTGTTTTTTATCGCTTTCAGCTCTAATTAGCTTTGTTTTTTTTCTATGTTGTATCTTCTTTTTCTTGTTGTTCCTCAACAGGTTTTCCTGTTCAGACTGGGCGAGTTTCACTGAGGAGACATGTACAGTGGGCAGAGACGGCCTGTGAAGTAGTGAAATTTCCACCGTTTTCATTCTATCCGGACAAAGAAGTGCACGTACAAATAACGACCAATCACTGGAACATAAGCGAGAAAAATTTTGTACATGATGCTACTGTGTCCTGGGTGGAAACTGTTAACTTCGAGAATTTTGAGGTGAATATTTTAAAAGGAAGTTTTCAATTCAAGTATTACTTCAAGTAGTAATTAGTGAGCCTTTGTTCATTTGTCTTACATCTCCAAGAACTCTTGTTCACCTGTCATATTTCTGGCAAAGTAAAATACTATTTAAACATATTTTATTTTCACAACGAGTTACTAGCGGAGATTTCGCGTCTTGCGCGCGCAGAGGAACACTATGGGTAAGAAAATTTGGTTATCTATGCATCCAAGAAATTTTGGTTACTAACAAAATCGTGCGTACGTACGTAGGACCGCGTCTTCATGTTAACGGATGTGAAATGTCTTACTAGCTGTAAGTCTAAAACATATGCAAATTGTGTTTAACTCGATTTTGGACATCCATGTTATAATCAATTGACAGCTGTCAAAGTAGGGCATCTGCAGACCAGTGTCACATGACTTTATCGCGGGCTCAGGTGTGCAACTTATTGAGATGACGGGTTTTTTTAAAGTTCTCCGCTGACCAGTAACAGAATTCAAGAGATCGCAGGCTTAGAAAACTTTACTGCAGGAAGTAAGTTACCACGAGAGCTTCGCTTTTGGCCTTGGCTAAATCTATATATTATCTTACCATATAAAATAAACATTAGCCATTACATTTTATCTTTAGGTGTGCGTGACTGCAGCAGGAAGAAATGATCGCTTTATCAAAGAATTTGCCACGGTGGACTGGATGGCCTACCAAGGTGCTCCTGATGGAGGTGTGGCGGGTAAAATGCGCATTCCAGAATGGTGGACTGGATCACAGTGCTCAAAAGTCAGCCTTCCTCAGGCAATAACACTTTATTGTTACCTCTCAGCTGCATCTTGTTTCGTTACATAAACCATAAAAAATAATGACCTTTAATTAAGTTTTCAATAAGGTGAACATTTGCTATGCTGATGTCATAAGTACTAAACACTCCAGTTGTTATCCAATCAAAGATATTGTACTTGGACTTGCAGACATGAGCTGCAAAGAGGCAGCCCAGTTCTGTCCACGAAATTCTTTCTGACACATAGGCCATTTTTAAACCTTTTTCAATTTTTACACTATTTGTCAGAGGGGGGGAGATATTCTTAAAAAAAAGCATTAGTTGATACAAAAAATATGGGAGAAAGAAACTTGTACGGTCTAGGGCTAAATTTGACAGTCGCGTTCAGACACCTGACCACGATCCAATGTCCTATGAGCGTCCCGATCATGTGAAAAGTTATTTATTCCAAATTTTACATGCTATTCTCCCAATCAGCTTTGCTGTGGATACTTAATGATTACCAATTCAACTTTCTTCCTGTTATGAATGGTTTTTTTTTTAACAGGGAAAATTTGCGTCTACACCAACGGTCCTGGTTACAGCAGAACATATAAGTGCAGACTTTAAGCATGATGCCGCAAGTTTGTGGGTGGAAAACGCAACCAGTTCCTCCTTTTACATTTGTCTTCGAGAACTACAGAATTATGATGGTCTACATGAAGATATCTTTGTGGTATATGTTTTCTCCTTTATAAACATATCTGTCTTGAGTTTGCTAAATCGTGGCTAAAGAAATTTCAAGTGCATTTTAACAATTTGATATCTAAGTCGAATGGAAAGTAGTTACGAAATACTAGCTGACAACTTTATTGCTGGCAACAGACGGTGAATTTCTCTCTCAGAAGAAACAGGATTTTGGGATAAAATAAACAACATCTGAAACGTCCAGAAATTATAACTTTTTAGTCAGCCAAACCATGAGGCCCCATACGCAAGTGTCTGCCGAAAACAGATTAAGAAGCCACAATATTTGAGCACAGAGTAGGCTTTCCAAGACAAAATCACCTAAACTAAATAATTGCGAAGCGTTTTTTTTTATGCTTGGTACCGTAATCTGGTAACACGAGCTCAACCACATACCTGAGTTTTGTTTGTCAACGCTTTCGGTAAATCACATAATATTACTTTAGCGGCAATCACAAAACTTCCAAAAACCACTCGTAATATTTCCACATTTAACATGGGCGAATGAACGTCAAATTACTCGGAAAAACTGTCGCATTCTGCACATAAATCGTCGATGGAGACTTCTTGACTCACACAGTCGATTTATTCAAGATCCTGGTTGTAAACCAGCGGTTGAAAAGGAGACATGGAGCCCCCGCCTTCCAAACAATTTTTGACGAAGACGTCTTTGGCCTGGTCAGAGATCAGCATCAATTTCCATCTCGCCGGATAAATTTCACCCCTAGAACCTCTTTTGTGAGGCCAAAGACGTTTTGCTGCCAACAACAAAGTTCGCAATATCCAATCTTTCCTTCTCAAACCCGGGATCAGTCTTCATCAGAGTAGCTAAATGAGACGAAATACGAGAAGACGTAGCAGACTTTGCCAATCGTGAGACTTGTTCCTTCGTAAGGCTTAATGATGTCTTCCGGAAAGCTTTGCTTAAGGCAACCACAAAAAAAACTCTAAGAATGCCCACTAAGAGAGCCGTGTTCAGTCTAAAACGCGGGCTGACTTCAAACTGGCATACACAGAGAATTATATAGGAAGCTATGACAGGCGTTTTTTAAGAGGGGGGGGGGGGTTGTAGGTTAATAGCCATTGAGAAACGCATGACAGTCTATCTAATGCAGCGTATTTTTCAGCCAACAAATTCAACAATATGACGTTCTAATGACGTCAAACGTCATTGTGTCAATCAAATTGTGCCTAGACGTTGGAAAATATTTTATTCTGTGTAATTTTGGTGGCCGTATCACGAGTAGTCTCCTTCGCAGCCGTTATTAGGGTCGTCACGCAACGCTCCTCCCCACTAGGGGAGGAGCGTTGCGTGACGACCCTAATAACGGCTGCGAAGGAGACTATATCACGAGAGGTTTTAAAGTTATAGAGGGGAGCCTCCAAAGCCAACCCACCCAGGTCGCAGGGAGCAAAAAAAAAAAAACGGGTCAATGATAAAATACGTGAGATGAGTTCCCGCTAGCATTGTGGATACAAGTTACAAATCGTCTTAGGGCACAGCTCAATTATTTTTACACGGGATTTAGGTATGAGATAGCAATCCATTTTTTATTGCTATCACTCTTTTTAGAGTTGGATGGCCTTTGAAACAATCCACAGGCCCCTTTTCGCTGAGAGCAAACACGTGGATTTTCCAAACAACAATTCCGTTTCTACGAGCTACAATGGTGCATTTTGCAAGGTAAGACGCAATTTTACTTTTAAGTAGAAGAAAGCTCTTTATCTGTTTAGATGGAACAGTAGACTTGCTACAAGTCGACCTCTGGACGAAGTCGCGAGAGGTCGACCTTCATCCCGCGCCAAATTAAATCCGACGAAGGACTTTTTTGAAAGTCTAATGGGACAGCAGAGAAAAGCGGCTATCAAATAAGTACATTTAGGAATTTTAAATCATCTTTACGGCTGTAAAACTCCAGACTTTATCCCAACTTAATAAATGGGAGTAAAAATGAAGGAAGTTCACCATGACTGATCTCACATCTAGTTGCCATATCATGTCATATGATCTTTCAAAAGAAATGAGATGAGGCCAAGAAATGAACTTATGTTTTGAAAGTTCATCAAAGCCGTCGAAAAAAAAAATCTTGAACAAAGAAATGTTTTTCTTACTCAAAAATTACCTGTTCCTTCGAGTCAGCGCAGATAAATTCCAGCCACCTATAGTATCACCATTCATTGATCAAAAATGGACGGTGATTCAAATGCTATATCAACAGCCTTATTTTTATGTCCTTAGGACGTTCCATTTGCAAAGAATTACGACAAAGAACCCATAGTATTAATAGCAGCCGGTCAGAACTCAGAGGGCAACAATTTGAAGCCAATATACATGTCCGTGACCCCATGGATTGAGGTATTCTCAAGTTATTTAACTAATATACGACGCTCTTTCTTCAAAATAAGTAAGATCAAGCTGACAACCCTGTAGGAAATGTGCAAATGAGCTAAATTTCACCTTTCTCTGTTCATGTAGCCTGTTTATCAGTCATAGTCGCGCAGCGAAAAGTACTATCTATTTGTCCATCTGTTATTCGAGGTCAGTTTTTTTTTTGTTTAGATGGGAATTCAAAATGACTCAGTTACAGGCGTTTAAGCGAACGTCTCTAAAAGTTGAGCTATTACTGTTTGTTCTTGTAAGCGAAATATATGATGCTAGATGATATGCTTATTTTACAGCACATCAAGACCAGCGAATTCCGCATTTGTCTTAAGGAGTTGTTCGCTGACCAGCATGATCCTGTGACTGTGTCCTATACAGTACTGGCAGGTGTGTTAGTAAATGATAAAAACAAATTTTCTTTGCGAAGACCTTCTCATGCCCAGCAAGCTTTGGTAGATGTCAAGTAAACTTAGAGGCTCCTTGTTTCATATCTCCTTTAGTAATCACCAGTAAATGTATTTTCTTAGTTCCTACGTACTACAAGTAAAGGTTTCTATTTCCAAAAACTTCTCGGTCGGCTAAGGCCTAAGCCAAACGTAGAAGTTTTCATGGAACGAACCAAACTCTAATTTGAGTCGACCTAACTTAAGTTAATTAAGATCGGCTGCTGGATAACACGTCGATCTTTATAGGGCGCGTGGAACCAATCAACTGAATCAGATCAGTAATAAAATTATTTTCTCCCGAACGATTTTATATAGATTAACGAACAATTTTTTTTAAATTTATTAGTTTAGTTCCTCACATGTGAAGATCGACGTTTGTCCTGGAGACGATCTTCGGACGCTCTGTCCGTCGTAACGTGTTGGACGAACCAAACTCATTCAGCGAACTTAACTGAGCCAAACGTCGCTAAGAAAGTTTCATGAACTTAAATCACTAAGTTTGGTTTGTCTCATGAAAAGTGCGACGTTTGGCCTAGTCTTTGTTACGCACAATTTACTTCACACAAAATGTTTTGTATACTGCAGATGTTTGTAAGCCGGGCTGGTCATATTTTAATGGTATTTGCTACTCGACAAGCCATTCGTGCAAAAATTGGACCGAAGCTGAGAAAACCTGCCAAGCATATAGCGGCAACCTCATCACTGTGCGGAATCAAGAAGAAAACGTCTATATTCAGCATCGGCTGAATGGTGCCAGGGGCTGGATTGGGCTAAACGATAGGGTAATTGAGGGTACTTTCGATTGGGCAGATAATCAAACCAGTAACTTTTCATACTGGGCGAAGAACCAACCAAACAACTTCAACAATGAAGATTGCGTTCACACTTTAGGAGTCAGTCATAGTTTTATGTGGAATGATGTAAGCTGTGGTACTTGCCATAACTATACCTGTTCAGAAGGTTTGTGGGTGACTTACCTCTTTTATATACCAACTTTTGTACGCTATATACAGTTAAAATAGCGTGACGGGACGCGTGAGCGTAACCCGTTTACTATAGTGAGAACTTAGTGTAAAAATTTAAAAATATACATATACAATAATAAAAAAAAGCACTTTAAATAATGCTCCAAAAGAAAATAAAACTATTCAAGATATCTAGGATCTAAAATGATAATTATAAAGTCTGATCTTTAAAGTTCTCTTAAGTAAATTACTTATTCGGCTGTAAAAAAAATTCATTGACGGCTACTTCATACCCACAAAAGTCCAAAAGATGTTGAAGGAAGAGAGTTAATAATTTCGAAAGCGATATTCATTGTTCATGTTGCAACTTTAAACGTTCTAAAGTTGTTTAGTGTTCCCGAGAGTACAGAATTCTGCATGTTATATACAAAAACTCCCTTACTCTTTACTTTCGACCAACTGCTTCAGCTGCACTTCTAAGTCTGGGCACCACCCCCCAAGTACGTCCATTATGATATTATATTGTTTCACTTCATATCCTTGGTACTTCTGCTTTAACTCCGGTCCCAACGGAGCGGTTCGTATTGCGTGGTTTTCTCCTCCTCCTTTTTCTCCCGGCTTGTAACCCATGAGCAGCTCATCTCAAGCGTTATAACTTGCTTTAAATCGTGTTTGATAATGCGAGCATGAACTCTGTTGGCTTCAACTTCTTGGTGCTCCGCAAATAGGGGGACATCCCAGAACACTTGCGCATCGTTCGCCTCTTACACTGGCTTCGGTTTCAGTGGCGGGTACTAAGGTGGCACCGAGTCTCTGACAAGACCTAGGTCTTGCAAAGTCTCGAAGAAAAGTATCTTCAGGGCTGTATTATTATGTCGAGTAATGTACTTGTTCTGTGCAAGGGCAGTACAACAAGCCAGGACATGAGCGACACTTTCAGGGGCGTTATTACATAGCCTGCAGGTTACCTCACCCATCACATCCGTGTGCTTTTTCTGGCAGTCATACAACCTCGTAGGTATTATTATTATTATTATTATTGTTATAATAATAATAATAAACGTTTTTAATGTTATCAGGAGCCGATATTATTAATTGCTTCCTACACTCTCCTAGAACCGGGGCCAATCCATGGTCCTGAGGTACCAGGGGAGTTTTATATTTGATGGACACTGAGAAACCTTCTCAGTATGTGCGCCGTTCCTAGCAGGATGATCTTTTGCAGCTCATTAATGTTACTGGCTCCAGGAATCTTACCTATATTCTGGCCCATTCCCTCTCTAATAAGTCCCAGTGCACCAACAATAACCGGCACAGTCTCTGTCCTCATTCCCCACATTTTCGTGGTTTCAATCTCAAGATCTTTGTATTTTGAAAGCTTTTCAATGACTTTCGTCGCGGTGTTTCGGTCGGATGGTAGCGATACGTCTATAAGTTTGCAACATTATTATTGTTATTGTTATTAATATTACTATTGTTATTATTCATTAGTTCCTATTCAAAAGCAATTTCCGATTTGCCCCAAGCCTGTTTCAAAAAGAGATTATAAAACTACTTCCTCATGGAAGGGTTTGCTCTGGACCTCATTTTGAAAGTGTGGGTTTTTAGAAATCGAAAATGGTCTATTTTAACTTTTCCAGGCGTTAAGAGTTATTTTTATTTATTTTATTTGTATTTTCAGAGAAGATCCTAATTTACTTTCACCAATTTACACCTCAATAACCAATAGGCCATTTGCACGATGCTGTCATTTACTACTACTTCCAGAATCCCTCAGGGTATTGCTTTCTTATGCAAATTACGGCTTTTGTTATGTAAACCTCACTGGGATTAGCAAATTTAAATATGAAAGAAAAAACGAAATGAATTCTGGTCCTAGTAGTAAAAAATCGTCATCGTGCAAGTGGCCCATTTCTTTGGCTTCTTAGGTGACTAAAAGTTTGAGTTTACTGTAAGGGGATGTTTACATGAGAAAACTCGCACCGGCGCGAGTTTCATACCAGGATGACTTTTTGATTTCTTATCGCGTTTACATGACGACTGGGCTTTTTCGTATCTCGTTAGTCGAAGGTACACGTCATGTTAATAAAATACACGTGTGATTCAAAATCGCAAACATAACGCATGCGCTACCCGTTTCAGTATACCGGCAGAGCGATTTCACACCGAAACGGGTGGTCGTTTCGCGCTTACATGATACCGTTGGGAGATTTCGTACCGGAGTGAAATTCTCGCCCCGGTACAAGAACCGGGGTGAGCTCTCGCCGGGGTGACTCGCGCCGGCATGACATTTTGTGGTGGTATCATGTAAACAAATATAGAGCCATGAGAGGGAACCTGAGTGAACTCTCTCCGGGGCGAAAGTCGCCCCGGCTTCATGTAAACACCCCCCAAATCTGTTTGTTGCAGAAATAGTATAAATTAAAGGATTAGTCTACAAAGAAAAATAGGCACTACTTTTGTAAAAAAGAAAATTAGACGTCACAAAAAGGATCCATAAGTGGGTGCTTTTAGCACTGCTTCACCCCTTCATACACAACAGTTTTCATGCTGATTGAATCATATGAGCAACGATTTTAATTTTTATTCTTTAGTTAAAAAAGTTGATTGATAATCAGTCGTTTCATTATTTGTTTTGCAGGTTGATTGACTGAACGATTGTTTTATATTCGTTTTTAAATTTAGATTATGATGAATGTGGAGGAAACAATAACCATTGTCATCAGAACGCCATCTGCACAAACATCATTGGCTCCTATAGCTGCCGGTGCTCCGTAGGATATGCCGGTGATGGCTTGCTTTGCAGAGGTATTATGTTCAAAGCCCCAAGTTTTAGTTTTTCGTTTAATTCATGAAGCATGATTATCAAAGGAAACTCGTCCAATGGTAAACAGACATCTCTTGTGAGTTTAAGGCTAGCTACAACCCTGGTCAAAACGTCTTGGGACACTGGAGGAAATTTGGCACAAAGACGCACTTTGCTAAATTACCTCATATTCTACCTCTTAAAAAAGCTTGGGGATGTTGTTGTAAGAGGCTATTTCTGCTGTCCCCCTCTCCCCCAAGCAGTGTTGATTGTGTTGAATTAAAACTTGAATACATAACGTCAACACTGCACCGAGGGGGAAGGGTGGAGGGAAGATACCTCAATTTGACGAGCTATTGCGTTAGTGTCCCAAGAGTTTTGACCGGGGTTGTAGAATAAAGTAGATTAAGCATGCTTTCACCGTAAAATTGCGTGAAAATGTATTTTTCAAAGAACTCGTAAGAGGGGTTTTAAATACTGAGCAGCGTATAATAGCTAGTAGTGAAATAAGCGTTTAAATATTGGCTGGAATAATTTAGGAGGGAAGTCTTCTCAGCAACTTTTTTTTCCAATTTCAGAGATGATAAAATTTGCACATTATTTCCTAATCTCTATGAATAACAGCAATAAAGTTGATTAACTATCCTTATTTTATAGTTCATAGGTATACAGACCATACTATAACTTTAAATACAGCCCAAAAAGAGAACTAATTAAAAGTTCATAGAATAAGGACATGTATGTACGGTTGTTGTATTTCCCTGCAATTTCAATATCTAAGCTCTTGTAGACTGAGTAGCTTAACGCTCTGGTTTTAACTTTCTCGACAAACCCGAGTGGGGTCGCTTGTTCCGCAGGCTAAAGCTTTCGGGGATTCATTACGAGAGGCTCTTTTTGTGTGCTGATGGGGCCAACACGCCGGAAGCTTCAAAATCCTACGGTAATTTGAATTCCTTGAAACATTCCTAAAGAGTAACTTTTTTGCTTCAGATATCGACGAATGTTCTTCAGGTCACCAATGTGACAGCAGTGCGACATGTTACAATACAGATGGATCCTACACATGCACATGTAACAGCGGCTTCACGGGGGATGGACGAACCTGTCGAGGTACGAGCCTTTGAATAAATATGGAATACTGCAAACGACAGCTCTGTAAAGCTTTTCGATAAATTAGGTTGGCTGCTAATAGGTGATATCATACGTATAAGGAAACTTCTCATTCTACGCAAAGTGAGTCAAGATCATCGTCCTGATTATTTCTGTCACGTCCTTTTCCAAACATGTCCGTTCTTCACATGGTCATTAAAGAAAGTCAGGACTTAGCGTAAGAAGTTCGCAAGTGCTTGTCGTTTATAGAATAAGTTAGGTCACTCACACATAGAGACAGTTTCGACGCAATGTTCAGAAAAACACTACAGGAAAAGTTTACCGATTAAGACAGCGCCTCATTAGCACATTTTAAGGTTTGCAGATCCTTTTAGACATTTATGGAAGTTGTAGATTTTTCCATTTTTATTTTAAATTTTTTCATAACTAACTGACCTGTTGTGTGGAGGTCCATTATAAAAACTTAACCCGGTGAACGGTAATGTTTCCACCCTCGTTATTCTTCTTGTTCTTCTCGTTCTTGTTCTTCCTCTTCTTCTACTGATGTCGTTTGAGAAGAAACAAAAAGCAAACTGCGGTGATAAACATAAGAAAATATAAACAGAAGAAAAAAAACTTTAACTTGACGTTTCGTATGTTCCAAACATACACTTTCAGCAGCGGCCCGCCCCCTCCTTATTTTTAGGCTGAACTGAAGCCCTTAGGGTTAAGTAAAATCATTTTCTCAGCCGAGCCCTCTACTTACTTGCAGATCTGAATTTGGTACTGTTTACATGCATAGAATTACAATGCATCTCTTCTCAGTGGTCTACTACTGTTCTTGTTAGGTCTTGAAAAGTTTACTCCTATGACTATGACATTCGTTGACAAAAAAGAAGATCCAGCTTGAAATAAATAAAAGTCTTCTTATCTTCCAGATGTTGATGAATGCTCGCTCAACACCCATGACTGTCACTTCCATGCAATCTGCACTAACACAGAAGAGTCATTTACTTGCAAGTGCGACGTGAATGCGCATTACATTGGTGACGGGAAAACATGCACTCCTCATCGTAAGCCGAATTATATGTTTTACTTCGTTTTGTTCTCTTCGTTTTACCACTCTGCCAGTTGTTAACCTCTGTTTTGTGGGAAAAGTTATCCACCAATATTTATGTCGCCAAAGAGCAACCTCTCGCCTGCCTGTCGATTATCTTGATTATGCTCTTGTCTAAGAATATACTCTTAATGAAATTTCAAATACACCGCAAGAGTGATTTTCTTGTTTATTTTTTTTGGTTGCTTCTGACTTTCTTGGGTACTTTAATTTTGAATGTATTTTTTGGTTTGGTTTGTTTTGTTTTGTGTTGTGTTGTTTGTTATTTTTTTTTCCGGTATAGCACGCCTGGAGTCGTTGTCACTTTTCGAAATACAGCATCTTTTAAAAGGATGAATTTCTGATTTACTTTTTTTTTACCAGGTGGTCTCGATGACTCCGTTATTTTAGCGAATGATGCCAGCAAGATATCGCAGTTAAATACCTGGCTTCTTTCGCACTTGCAAAGTCTAGACAGAAGTTATTGGAAACTGTGTTATAGGGCCTCTAATCATGGCTGGAGTTCACAGACCTTTCACAGCAATTGCGATAACAAAGGACCCACTGTAACAATTGTTAGGGTCGGGATCTATATTTTTGGAGGCTACAACGACAATTCATGGCAGTGTAAGTCTTTGAAATAGCTAAGATACGAAGAAGGTATCGACTAGTTGAACTGAATTAAACCCGGGGGTTATTAACCCCAAATGTAAAAGGAAGGAGAGACTGGGCCTTTACAATTTTCGCAAATAGTTCAAAACAAGTCTAGTCTTGACTAGATTGTCATTAATCACTAGCAATACTGCCAATTGGAGAGGATTGTGTAGTAAGAGTTTAATCAAATACTCGCAACCATGACAATCTAATCCAAGGTCACAACATTGCAGAAGCATGAACTGCATTCAAAAAATTTGCCATCGTTATTATTGAGAAAAATCAATGACAACCAGTAGTTTTGATTGGCACAATCTGGCACATTTTCCATGCATTATCGGTGAGGACAACTGTTTTAGCCACTGGCTCCTCTTTGTACAACGGCTTGGCTGTGCGTTTTCTTGTACGATCGGGGATTAGACGTATCCAGATCTAGAAAAATAAATGTTTGTTCGGCTTAAAACGCGTCAAACATGCCACAAAAGACTGTGCTGAATCCTCGGGCTGCTTTATTTATAATTTATATAATTATTATTATTATTTTTAACAAGCGCGTTTGAGGCCGCGGGGGTATGGGGCTTAGTGGAGAAGGTCGGGCTTAGTACGGCTGTAGTGCAGCTGGTTCTACCAGGTCTTTTTCTTGAAATCTGATAGGGGTGGACCGCCGTTTCTTTTAAATTTTCTAATGGAAAAGCCCTGGGGACCAAGTTGGTGGTAATTTGTGATGCTCCAATTCATGAGGATTTGAGCGTGATTTATGTGGTATTTCACGCATTGTATACTACTTCCCTGCTCTCAGTATTTACTAATCCACCACCGTTTCCTAAAAATACACCATTTTACAGCTGTGGGCTTAGTATCCTAGACTTCGAATGAGTGCAAGACTGAGGTTGACCATGATTGATAGATAGTTGGATAGTTTATTAACAATACTTTGCTGCACAAAGGCTGAATTACGTATTTACAAATTATGCAATTGATAAAATGTGTATATAAAACTAATAACCGTAAATAAAAAAGTGTGAAAAACGTGATAAAAAGTCTAAAAATCTACGTACAGGATCAAATAATAAAACTATTCCTAAAACGATCTGCCTTGCATTTAGGTACAATGAAGCGACTGTTGCACCTTAGAGCATAACAATGTTTTGATACAAACCTCCTTTGTTTTGTTATGGAAATTATACTTAAAAAGTGCTTGTTGAAAGAAAGCAGAAATGGTTGTATCAAAGCAAGGTCCACTCCAGCCTCGTTTTCATCCATAGTTGTAAAATGGTCTATTGAACTCGACTGAGTTACACTGAATCTCTAATTGTTTGTGTTCTGTTTTTTTGTCTCTTCAGGGTCTGCTGGTTATCAATATTCGACAAATACTTTCTTGTACTCACTAAAAAACTACAACGGGTATGGATACTTCAAACAGGACATAACCAACGGCTACTATGACTACGCCACTTACAGCGATTATAATTATGGTCCAGTCTTTGGTGGGGGCTTTGATATGTATATTGAGGACAATGCGGGAAGAAATACCTATTCTGGCTTTAATTGTCACTCGTACCGCAGGCCTTATTGCGACTATAGCATTTGGGTTGGAACACGAGACGGGAATCATTTCCGCCCAGATGAGTTGGAAGTTTATTATGAAGTGCTTGCTTGAAACTGGGCAGCAACAAAAAACAAAGGAAACAAGAAAAACAACAACAGTAACAACAACAAACGAGCGAAAAATAAACAAACAACAGCAATAAATAAATTAATAAGCAGAAGATTCAACAACAAAATGAGGTGTTAAAGCACCAACAGCGGTTAGCCATAGCACGACTAGTTTTGTCCCTATGATGACCATTTTTGTTGGTAGCATAGTTCCATGGTAGGAATTTGCTATAAGGGAGTGTTTTCCTTTGTTAGGACTTATCCCTGTAGGTATTCTTCAGAATCTCAAAGGCGATTTTGTTTTAAAGTGATCAAACGGAGAAATATTATTTGCGTTAATGGAAATCCCGTCCGAAATGACTAAACTCAGATAGGCACACGCAAATAGTTATTTATTTTTTAATTAAAATAGTATCAGTAACCTATGAACTAAATAGATAGCAATAAAGAGTTTGGGTTCCCTATAAAATATCCTTATTTTCTCTTACTGAGCACATATTAGTATTTTTCTCACTGAGCACAGATCAGTATGACACTCCCTACTCTCTAAGATATAATTCCTTTGGTTTGCAAGCTTGGCCACTTTTATCATTCTACAAGATTGAAGCTATTCGGTAATACCGTTTTATGTTATCATTGTTTTTTGTTTTTACTTTGTCATTTAAGTATATCCAATGATGTAATGGGCAATGTCATTTATTCTTAATTTAAATGACTATAAACTGAATTGAATTGTCTTAGAGGAGTGAAAGAGTCTTCATTGGCAGGGAAAGGCATGATGCAAATCCAACATTGTGGCAAACTAGAATGTTGTTTTAGCTGGTTTACGTTTATGGCTAGCTAAATCTACGCATTGGATTGAAGTCATTTCCAAGCACGCGTTGTTTTAAATTGTTTTCACTGTTATCCAGACTCATCCACGTGAACAATATGGTGCGTGCTCCTGCTAAAAAGTACTTATCAATTATTACTTAAACTAGTAATAACCACGGGCTATGGAATTCGGGCGAGTTAAAGATATCAGATCGAAGGTCAAAACGCACTAACATTTTAAGTAGATCCAAAATTTTGTCATTATATCAACACTTAAAAAGCAAAAGGAATTCTTTTTGGTAAAGCGGTGTTGTCTTTTCAGTGCTTTTGCCTTCATCTCCCTTATTCCGAGCACTTTAGAATAGAACCTGCTGTGAGAGTTCTGTCAAACATTGCGTGTTCTAAAGTTCAGTTGTTTGACTATACGTCACTCCGTTATTACTTGGTTTCCCGCCTGTAACCTGAATATTGTTCTTCAAGGAATATCTTTGATCACGGGATATCTGTTTACATTGCATGTCTTTGCCATTCCTGGAACTGAGGCTCATCGATTTGAAGCAAACAGATCACCGGCAGCCACTAGACTACGAGCAATCTCTCCATTTACACCAGCGAGTGACGAAAGAGAGAACTAGGAGGGTTAAAGGGAGATCACGATCGATAAGCAGGGAAGCCACAACGGTAAAGGCCGAGGGAGACAGCGAAATGAGGAGGAAGAAGAATACCATGGGCTAACGGAAGCTCGTGAAAAAAAAAAAAAAAATTAAAAAAAAGCAGCGAATTCGGATGGGTCAGCAAAGCCACAAGGAACCTGAAGACCAAGAGAGGCAGTAACGATAATAGGCTATTTCCGAGTTCCCCTGGGCCTCTGTTTCAAAACGAGGGTAGGTGATCAGCAATGCTAATAAAACTCATTTTCACAAGAAAGATTGTGCATCTAGCCTCATTTTGAAAGCAAGGGTTTTTGGAACTCGGACCTCGGAAGTGGCGTATTGGAGCACTTTCAAAACATAGCCAGAAATTCTAGACAGTCTGCGGCTTGACCCGCTGGCACGTAAATTTCGGTTTTCAATCTGGCGGACACCGGAAGAAGGGAAAGGCTCCTGACCATATCTTGAATTCCCTGAGTACTGCAGTTTTCATGAGAATATGAGAATAATAACATATGCTAACGATGTGTCTACTGAGCAAATTCTCCAAGGTTGAAAAGAATTTTCCGGGGCAATGTGATTGTCTGACATGGAATAAATTCCTATCCCTCCAAAATATCGCTCTTTTTCGAATTTTAGCATTTTCTAGAATATATGAAGTACCTACCCTTGTTATAGGAAATACCACTGACCACTATGACCTCTTGAACACGTTGAAAGAACACCCGATTCACACGGAGGGTACTGGGTATCACCCGTAAAAATGATGCCCAAATTTATACCGGGTATCACCCATCAAATTACGTACTATAGTACGACTAAGTCAACGACTAATATGGATGGTGCAATATGATGGATAAACGTGCATGTAATTCACCTTTATCCCTCATATTACACAATCCGACACAGCACATTGAGGTTAGATTACGTTTAACGTGCAAAGCAGTATTTAATGGGCCGGTAAGTTGTTTAAAAGCCTTCATTTTGTTTTCATAATATTTTATTCCTTTACGTTTTTCGCCTCGTAGTCGTTTTGCCTTGCAGTCAGCCCATACCCGGCCACTTATTTATAATAAGTTTGTTCTGTTGTTGACCAGTTCATTTGGTTGCAGGAAGAAGCGCTTTAAGGCTGAAATTCAAGTTCGCTATCACGATCAGGACACTGCAGTGAGAAGGAGCGAAAAGCTTATTACCGGTAATGGGCTGTATTAATGTGACTAATGTTGATAAGCAAGATGGTCACGACGATTTCAACGTGGATGTAGGTGATTTGTGCTGAGGATTTCGATGTCAGCGATGAGCCAGCAATATCTTCATCTGTAAGCTTAAATACTCGTCATTATGAAAGATTGCAAAGAACAGAAGATACATGGGCTAAGTTACGGCAAGCTGCTCTTTCGACCACTTTCTAGAAGGAAGGTTCGTTTGTGAACAGCACGTTACTGAGGTGTCACTTCTGTGACTCGGAAAGTGGCATTTGTCGTTCCTTGGACTGTAGTGCAACAGCAAAGTTTTGTGAATTTTGTGCTACATCAATGCACACCGAAGTAAATATTCTCCATAGTGTGGAAATTCTTAAGGTACGTAAGTTGGTCAGAAGGTTTCCACAACAGAGTAGATTCGTAGCTGCCAGACTCTTAATTACCTGCTTCACCCGGCTGCTTTAAATCTTTGTACTTGTAAAGCTGATGTTTATAAGCTTAAAATAGCCCCAGATTTTATTTGTCATTTTTCATCTTTGAACTATGTTGCTTGTCAGTTATTACAATGTCTTGCCAGGTTTTGCTTTTAGATCCTTAAATTATGTGCATTAGAAGCTCATGGTTTCCTTGGTTGTTATTTTTTTTAGTATTAATGAAGCTATATCGTGCTTACATTGTAAATTACAATCACTTTTGACCACCTTGCCAGATCAGAGATTAGTTTCTCTGAGAGCAAAACAAACAAACGTTAAGCTCGGCGAGATAGGATCGGAGAAAACTAATATCATTCATGTGTATCACTTAAATTAAGGATCATGCAGGGGAGTTTTAAATCAAATCACTTTGGTTTATTAATCTATTTAAACACTAAAACAAAATGAGCTGTTAGTCAATTAATTAATGTTTGAATTTTTATTCTTGGTTTAATACATAAAGTGCCATATACTATCATGACTTCTTGTTATTCTAGGAGGAGAATATAATTATATATTTCCCTTTGATCTTAGCAAGAACCCTGGTGCTGAACGGACATCAGTGCCCATCTGTTCATTTGCGTAATGTTTCTACCGTAGATTCTCGAGGTAAGGAAAAAAGTCTTTTTATGTGTCAACCCCATGCATGATCTAGTAAAGCAGATCAGATGTAGCTCTAAAGCTGTTTTTTGTGTTTGTTCAATATATATGTACGGGACTTTGCTTGTAAATTTAGTTAAACATGTAATGGAAAAATGTACAGTATAACACTAAGCAGTATACAATTTTATATTAACAAAAATGTCAGACATGATGTACATCCCTAATATTAATGTACAAAAAGACGGAATAGACGTACTGAACCATAGAAGAAAACTGTAATTTTATTGTGACCAACAGTCAACCAACAGGCAACCTGACAGTGGGCCAACTGTTTATCAACTGTCGATCAACAATTGGTCGACAGATCTAGATACAATGCATACCATGGGTATGAATTGTCATGAAAGTAATTATATATATATTAGCCTGTTGTTTGGCTACTTGGTTTTTATTGTTTTCTCTGAGTGCCTATGGTGTATTAATTATCTTTGACATGTATGCAAGTGTTTATATATGTGCACTGATCTGACTGCAATTGTTGTTTAACAATTACTCATATAGCATGAACATCAGTTAATATCCCTTTTGTTTTTTCTTTCTTACAGGATTTCAAGTGGTTGTTGCTGCTCAGTTTGTAGTTGTGAACCTGATTTTTTACGTCTACTTAGGTTCAATTTTTGGGGGCCACACCAACAAAGCCAGAGTTGGCATTCACAATGGATTTGATGAAGTTGCTGCTCACCCTTAATCTTGAATGCCAAGTGGCTGTAAAAGAATTTTGTTCTGCGATTCAGACCCTTGTTAATGATATTATATCCTTTCCGGTATTAAGATAGTTTAAAAATTATGAAATTCTTTTCTCCTTTGCTTTTAAAAACTGTCATATTGTCCATATATGCTGTGTCAGTCAGTTTACTTTACTTTCTTTTAGCTAGTTAACGAATAATATTTAGCCATAAGGTTTTTTTATGTACTATTTTAGAACGAGAGGAAATTATATCCAGTTATTATTGACAGACTCGAAGTGTTCAGGTTAGTAATAAGACTTATTTAATATAATATTATAGTAATAGACTAGTTGTTTCCTTATATATTATTCAGTGAAGTGGAGGTGGCTTGTGGATATTTAGCGAGCTGCATTTGAAGTGCTAGGTTAGGTGAATAGTATTGTTTTGCTATGTACACACTGTGCTAAAACAATTACATGATATATAATTGAGCTCACGAATGAAACAGAATTTAATTGCCATCTTTGTGAACGTCCAGATCACAGCTTCTTCATTATAAATATGGTAGCAGAATAACTGGTGGGAATAAGCACTGGGTGGTTTGAGTAGCCAAACAAAGAGCAAAAAGCACCAATTATATCCATTTGTTAAGTGTATAATGATACTTACTGTCAGTAGTTGATATTTTTATGTCACAGCTGGTCTCTCCTATATAAAGATGAAGCGAAGCTCCTAGCTAATCATAGTGCTCTATTTTCAATAATCATCAATGTAGTTATGCTAATGGTATGTATTATGATATCAGTGGTTGACATTACCTTATTGTCGATTGGTGGTTGGATAGTTATCGCTGTAGATGGTCAGTGATTCGTCAAACCTGATCATGGTATTGATGCTACATGTGTATGAGAGGTGTGGCTGCACTGAGAATAACCAATGGGATGTGAACTTTTTATTACAACATCATGTTCCTTTTGTAGACATCTTTTAAGGGAGTTATTACATGTAACACTCTTTCCCATGTGGTGACCTGTACATTGTACTACTGCATAGACAATATTTAACTCTGATGGTTCACTAACCATTAGGTTACTTCTCAGCATTTTGTATTGCATTGTCATTTTGAATCAGGCTGGAACGCGTTTTATTTGAATTGGAGAACACAGATGGTGTAAGTCAGCGCTGTACCACTTCTTGTGTGGAGTATACAACGGTATGAGATGCTGCTTGTGACAGAAGCAAAAAGGTGGCATTGGTCGATCTGCATACTAAAGTTATTGAGCGGTGGTTCTTGTTGAGTTTGATATCATTTGATATATGATAAAAAGTGTAATCATAACTATAACAAAGTTCTCAAATCTGACTGGCTATCAACTGTCCTGATTTCAGCCTTAATAGGACAGTACGCACCATCACGCGCGCTTAAATGTTTTTTTTTTTTTTCACTGCTAGCCGAAAAAAGATTGGAATTTCTTGTGTTTCGATTTAAAAAAAGAGCCTTATATATCACAAGTTTTGTTAAAGTTATGATTAATTTTTAACAGAACTTCCTGTGGTCCAATTTGGTCTGTAATCATGCTCATGATTAAACAAATCAAACTCCCGCAACTCGGTCCTCCGATTTTGTTAAGCACTCGTATGATTACAGACCGAATTGGACTCCACTCAGTCGTGTTACCATTACTAATTGTTGCGGTTATGATTCCAAGCTGCTAGAACGCATTCTTGAGAAACAAGGACATGGTCCGTTTTCATGAAACGTTTGATTTTAGTGACCCATTAAAAGCAGTGTCTTTATGATTTCTTTAAACCTGCCATCACGGCGCTATCAACGTAGTACAGTTTTGCTTTGTCGAAAATATAGGCCAGGGCATAAAATAACTTGCTAGTCCTGATGCTTTTGGGCTCGAGGACTAGACAAGTGTCAGGAATTTCCCGTCTTAACATTACGGGGTTTTGTCTTTTCACTTACTGTTTGATTTTATCTTTTTCTTGGTTTTTTCTTGAACTGTCTTCTGTCCTTATCACTTAGATGGCCATGACCTTTCCAAACGGCTTTCCAAGCAGATTTGTCCAGCAACAAAGAGCATGCGAACCGCTCTAGATAAATTCAACAACCTAGAATGCAGTAATGCTTGCCCATTCCCACGCTCCTTGGAGTTCGATCAAGTGAAGAACCCGGAAGCAGACGTTTGGTTACGATCGGAGTTTGTTGGTTCTGACTCGCCAGTACCCATAACCGTTAGACGTAGAGCAATCGATCTGTACCATCTGCTGGATAGAGCTAAAGAAGAGGTGACCTTACCTCAGGAAGAGATGAGAAACGTAGTTGAACACTTCAGCGGGCAGCACGCGACGTTTTCCAGTTCGTTAAAAGATGCCACGATATCTCCTTTGTCCTTAGAGGAGTTAGGGAAAAATATATTTCCGAAAATGAAACTGGTGTCTTTGGAGGGACAGCTTTTAGAGGTGAAAAGAGTTTTCCAAGGTCACATCGGAGAAGTCCCTCTCCCGAACTTAATTTTTGATCGAAACAGTATTCCGTTACAGGACGATGAAAACGAGGCTGACGAAGTGTCTGAGTTGTTGCTAACCCTCCCGGAAACAGATGAGGATGAAGTGGACAGTGAAAAGAATGCGAGAGCGATTATGACGATACCGACAGCACTTTTTTAGTTCTTCGGGAATATTGCTTTTAAACTAGAAAAGCGTTAACTATTCCACTATATTTCGGGCTCCTCTGGACCTCCGCAATCCTAATGTCCACGTTGCTAGTCTGCATGAATTATAGGGCGAAGTACGCATTTGGGGCTCTCAATGCTCCCATTTTCTAGTAAATGAAAATCGTCAAGCACCTGAATCAATTGTTGTGAAATCGTTGTTTTCCTACTAGTTCTCATCGACTATCGTGCCAAGAACGCTTTTCTCGCTATTTCATCCAATTTTCTAATGAATGGGAAAATCCTGCTCCTTAATATCGCGCTTTCAAATTAGTGTGTGGGGTAAACATGCGTAATTTTTCCTGGTTAGCTGGAAATAAGTGTGTGTGTTTCAACAGCTACAGTAGACAGACACATAAAAACCAAGTGGATTCAGGGGCACTAAAAAGGAGCACGGAAAATACTTTTTAGGCTATCCCAAGTACTTTTAGATGTCTTGAAATGCCTTGCATTCTAAGCGGCCCTATATAATTTGTATCTATTCGGAGCTCCTAGAAGAAATTGAGTCTTTTGGAAATTACGAGGGTTTTAGTATTATTTTCCGAAAGAGATATTTTACAGAAAACAGTCGTTGGGTGCCGCTGTTTGTGGATTGAGAATCTCCTGTTATAAATTGCAACTGTCATGCCAAAAATACAAGAACCTTTTTGGCCAAGTTACTTGTAGGTTAAGAAGGTTGTTAAGTGTGTGTTGGAGTTTAATTATCCTAAACGTTTTAACCAATGAGTTTGGATTTGAGAGTGCATATTTATATTACATGAAAATAAGGTCACGGTAACAAACTGTATTAAGTAATAAAAGTATCATTGTAAAAAAGGTTTATAAAAAGACAAAATAAGTACATGCTGTAATTTTGTCTTCATAAACGGGCATCGTATAAAGGAGATTGCAATGAATATTTGTCGATAAATATTGTCTATGTTGAAGTTACTTTTTTATCTCAGTTATTTTTTTGGTATGGTAATGTATGCTAATGAAGTTGAAAAATGAAAATTACCCGAGATAAAAAAAAATTAACTTTAATACGTATATATGTCAGGACAAGACTCACGTTTGTTAATTTTTTCTATTAGTCAACAACTATATCTCTTTTATAGAAATTGAGAATTCAACTGAAGAGAAGTACCTCTAAAATACAAGAACCTAACTTTGATCTCCTAAACTAAGGATCCCCTCGAAAATAACGGCTATGCGAAAGTAACGTCAATTTGCTACCTTCCGAGTAACCCCGAAAGTAGCTACTTGTAAGGCCCCAAGTAGCAGCCCTTTAAAAAATTACCCTCAATTACAACTTCAATAAAGTTGTTTATTGAATTTATTTCTTTCTTGATTTAAGCAACTGAAACGGGAAAATATCATTCTTTTGAAAAAATTGGAAGTTTTCCATCAAATCGGTCGTTATTAACTAGTTATCGCATTTTGTGACCTATGAGGATAAGTCATGACTTTGAATGACTTGGTAAAAAAAAATGAGTGGTTACAGCATTTTTTACCGGATAACCGAGAAAATATACAAAAATTACCTTTTTGTCGGGATTTAGTTGTGTGTACATCGTTTCTTTTTATTGAATGTTGAACCAGTGCGCTCTTTTGATTTTTTCAGGTTATTTTCCGATACACGGCAAAAGGCTAGCACTTCCACGGTTGCCGTAACATCGGGCTGTTTCCGCCAACAATGCATTTAGGGCACTTCGATCCCATTTTGCATTTAAATCAGGTTGTTTCCTTCATTTTGCATTATGGCACTTTAATGCTTTGTCGTAAAATCTGGCCGTTCCCTCTAGTTTCCATGAAAGGTTTGCTCAACAGTGCATTTTAGGCACTTAGATGCTTTGCCACGAAAGGTTTGATCAAAGGTGCATTTTTGGGTCCCCTTACGTTTGCATGAACGACAGGGTCAACAGCGCATTTTTGGGCACTTGGATGCTTTGCCGTAAAATCGGGCCGTTTCCTGTAGTTTCCATGAAAGATAGGGCCAGCAGTGTACTTTTGGGTACTTAGATGATTTGCCGTAAAATGGGGCCGTTCCTTTCAGTTTCCATGAAAGACAGGGTCAACAGTGCATTTTTGGGCACTTAGATGCTTTGCCGTAAAATCGGGCCGTTCCCTCCACTTTGCATGAAAGATAGGGTCAGCAGTGCAATTTTGGGTACTTAGATGCTTTGCCGTAAAATCTTGTCGTTCCCTCTAGTTTCCATGAAAGGTTGGATCAAAGGTGCATTTTTGGGTTCCCTTACGCTTGCATGAACGACAGGGTCAACAGCACCTTTTTGGGCACTTAGATGATTTGCCGTAAAATGGGGCCGTTCCTTCCAGTCTCCATGAAAGACAGGGTCAACAGTGCATTTTTGGGTACTCAGATGCCCTGCGGTAAAATCGGGCGGTTCCCTCCAGTTTCCATGAAAGACAAGGTCAACAGTGCATTTTTGGGTACTTAAGATGCCCTGCCGTAAAATCGGGCCGTTCCCTCCAGTTTCCATGAAAGGTTGGATCAAAGGTGCATTTTTGGGTTCCCTTACGCTTGCATGAACGACAGGGTCAACAGCACCTTTTTAGGCACTTAGATGCTTTGCCGTAAAATCGGGCCGTTGCCTGTAGTTTCCATGAAAGATAGGGCCAGCAGTGTACTTTTGGGTACTTAAATGATTTGCCGTAAAATGGGGCCGTTCCTTTCAGTTTCCATGAAAGACAGGGTAAACAGTGCATTTTTGGGCACTTAGATGCTTTGCCGTAAAATCGGGCCATTCCCTCTAGTTTCCATTAACGATAAGGCCAGCAGTGTAATTTTGGGTACTTAGATGATTTGCCGTAAAATGGGGCCGTTCCTTCCAGTCTCCATGAAAGACAGGGTCAACAGTGCATTTTTGGGTACTCAGATGCCCTGCGGTAAAATCGGGCGGTTCCCTCCAGTTTCCATGAAAGACAAGGTCAACAGTGCATTTTTGGGTACTTAAGATGCCCTGCCGTAAAATCGGGCCGTTCCCTCCAGTTTCCATGAAAGATAGGGCCAGCAGTGTAATTTTGGGTACTTAGATGCCCCGCCGTAAAATCGGGCCGTTCCCTCCAGTTTCCATGAAAGACAGGGTCAACAGTGCATTTTTGGGTACTTAGATGCCCTGCCGTAAAATCGTGCCATTCCCTCCAGTTTGCATAAAAGACAGGGTCAACAGTGCATATTTGGGTACTTAGATGCCCTCCCGTAAAATCGGGCCGTTCCCTCCACTTTGCATGAAAGATAGGATCAGCAGTGCAATTTTGGGTACTTAGATGCTTTGCCGTAAAATCTGGCCGTTTCCTCTAGTTTCCATGAAAGGTTTGCTCAGCAGTGCATTATAGACACTTAGATGCTTTGCCGTAAAATCTTGTCGTTCCCTCTAGTTTCCATGAAAGGTTGGATCAAAGGTGCATTTTTGGGTTCCCTTACGCTTGCATGAACGACAGGGTCAACAGCACCTTTTTAGGCACTTAGATGCTTTGCCGTAAAATCGGGCCGTTGCCTGTAGTTTCCATGAAAGATAGGGCCAGCAGTGTACTTTTGGGTACTTAAATGATTTGCCGTAAAATGGGGCCGTTCCTTTCAGTTTCCATGAAAGACAGGGTAAACAGTGCATTTTTGGGCACTTAGATGCTTTACTGTAAAATCTGGCCGTTCACTCTAGTTTGCATAAAAGACAGGGTCAACACTGCATTTTTGGGTACTTAGATGCCATGCCGTAAAATCGGGCCGTTCCCTCCACTTTGCATGATACATAGGGTCAGCAGTGCAATTTTGGGTACTTAGATGCTTTGCCGTAAAATCGGGCCGTTCCTTCCAGTCTCCATGAAAGATAGGTTCAACAGTGCAATTTTGGGTACTATAGATGCTTTACCGTTAAATCGTGCCGTTCCCTCCAGTTTGCATGAAAGATTGGGTCAGCAGTGCATTTTTTTGGTACAGTCGAACCTGTATTTAACGGCCATGTAAGCGTCCACCCTCTAGTAAGCCGCCAGTTTTCAAAGTCCTGCTTTTTCGCTCATACAAACCCTGTATTTGTTACCTGTATTATGCGGCCACCCTGTAGTCTGTGTAGTAGTCCTATGTTTGTCTTTCTTTGTTATTTTTAGTTGTATTTGGCGGCCACTAAGCGATATGTAATTCTATGCATTATTTCATGGTGTTTAAAATGCGATCCATCATGACTATAGAAAACTAACATGTACAATCCCGGGGTACAAAGGTACTCTAAGCTGATACTCGGGCGTTTAGTATCATTAACGCTTTTCAGATGTCCTCAGATTTATTGCATAGTACTTTTACATAATGTTACGTATTTTATACCGTTAAGGTACCAGTTGGCACCGAACTTTGTTTCAAGTATTGATCGCTTGAAAGAGTTTTGATTGTCGTATTGTTTCCTTGGCATTAAAACACGCCCGGTGAGTTTTCTTTTATCCTGTATTAAGTGGCCAGTTCCTCAAGTCCCGAAGGTAACAGTTACACACTGGTTATATACAGGTTCGACTGTATTTGGATCCTATTTACTAGTCTATGGCAGTTAGTCTGGCGCTTCGATGACCTGACGAACAAACAGGCTGTTCCTTTCATTTTGCATAAAATATAGGGCCAACGATGCCTTTTTGGCACGTAGATCCCATTTTCAAGTAACTGGAAAATTGCCTGGCACTGATAGCGGCCGTAAATTCAGAGTGTCCCCCCTTTTTTCATGAAATGTAGGGTCGAACAATACATTAGTGGTACGTCTCATTGTCAAGCTAATGTGAAACGTTCGTGTACTTTACTGAGCTGCCAATTGCCAAGTTTGGGTGTGTTCCTCTATTTTTTATGGGATATCATTGTTTAAGACTGCGAAATCACCTGGCAGTCCAAATGAATTGTTGAGAAATCTGTTTCGCTCCACTAGCTTCACTTCTTCGTGTAATATTGGGACAAATGCGCTGGCTCCCTTTTCGTGATGC